TATTGCGTTTAGTACAGCTCTTCATACTGTACTATACGTACTATTGCGGTTAGCACAGGTCTCAATACTTACTCTCGCCCCAGTACAGTATTTCACCAAAGTACTATACGTACTATTGCGTTTAGTACAGCTCTCAATACTACTGTACTATACGTACTATTGCGTTTAGTACAGCTCTCAATACTGTACTATAGTACTATTGCGTTTAGTACAGCTCTCAATAATATACTCGACCCAGTACAGTATTCAATCATCCATACTGTACTGGTACTACTGGCGGTTCAGTACGGGTTTCGATGCTGGAATATAAATACTATAGACTACTGCTGTACTAAATGGAAGCTTGAAAAATATTTATGAACCGAAATGCCCTGGGGTCGCGACCGACGGTTCGTGGTTTTAGACCCTCTCCTCCGCACTCCGCACGACGACTCGACGGAGGCACATTCCATAGGTAAGTGCAACTTGCGAAGGTGTACCGATTCATGAGGTAAAAAAAGTCAATTGACGGATACCCTGCGAATCGGGTCCTCCTCAACACTCTCCACCCACAGAATTTACCCTCAGCTGGGAACCTCCTGTGGCCAAGATGGATAATTCGATGGAAGTGTCCAAGGGATGTAAATAGTTATGAACCGAAATGCCCTCGGGTCGACCGACGGGTTGTGGTTTTAGACCCTCTCCTCCGCACTCCGCACGACGACTCGACGGAGGCACATTCCATATAATAGATAGGTAAGTGCAACTTGCGAACGTGTACTGATTCAGGTAAATAAAAGTCAATCGACGGATACCCTGCGAATCGGGTCCTCTTTAACTCTCTCCACCCACAGAATTTACCCTCAACTGCGAACCTCTTGTTGTGGCCAGGATGTGTAATTCGATGGAAGCAGTGTTCAAGGGGTGTTCTCAGGACTGACACACATTTTTTTTGTTTTTCTCTCATCATTGGACTCTGTCGTCTGCCCCTCTGGCCCCTATCCTCCGCTTCTACTAGCTAGGCGACCCAACCGGGTTCACATAGGAGGGGGGGCTGGACCCCCTCCTGCGGTTCCTGCCTGAGGTATTTTTATCGCGAGAAGGGTACAACAATTATTTCCCTCGCGACTACCGAAGTCGATTATGGTTTACTAACAACGAGCTTTGCAGCGCGTCGCTAACCCTAGACCAGGATTTATTTAGTTAGTGAGAAAAAAACTCACTCTGCCGGGACTCGAACCCATGACCTGGCCCTTAGCAACTGCGAGGCTATCCACTAGAACATCGGGGCATTGTGTCCATGGGAAAATGTCCAAGCCAGGAGAAACGTGTAACGTGTGCACCCAAGGAGACTCGAACCAGTATCCAGCTGACGCTAGACAGACATACATAGATCTACATGCGCGAATGATGTGTACCGATTCAGGTAAAAGTCAATCGACGGATACCCTGCGAATCGGGTCCTCCTTAACAAACTCCTATGCAGAGGAGAGGTAAAACAATGGACCTATCTACAGCTGTACAACAGTAGTAGTACGACAAGCGATCGTGGTCCGACCGCGCTCAAACCCCCACTCCAGGCGCAACAAAACCGCAACGACTCCCAAGAATGGTGCGGAGAGGCGGAGCGGAGGACCAAAAATCCTGCCAGCAAGCAACTCATTCTCTCGGAAACAAATATGCATTCATCCAGCGAAACCGTGCGTGGACTTGCAAGAGTCGAAAAAGGGTTTTCTTCGTCATATTTTTTGTCAACAACGAACGCATGCACGCATTCGATCGCTCACTGTTACAACAACGAGAGAAAAATTCAAGAAAAATTCAAAAGCAATCTGTACCTGTATAGGCTTGACTTTCCTTACGACAAACGGGGAGATCGCTGGGGAGAGAGGAATGATGAACGACGCAAAACCAATGTGCGGAGGGGAGGGAGAGCGCGCTCCAGCAACCAAAACTGGGTAGTTGTTATTTCGTGTTTGTGTGTATTTTGAAGAACGTTGCGCTTCTAACCGCACCGCAATGACGCAACACATGCCCCGCCAAGACATGAAGATCCAGGAATATGGAGACTGAATGGACCCGAAAGTGTTTTTTTCTTCAGGTGTCGTGTGTGTGTGCCCCGACCAACACGGCATCAGCACGACAATATCCCCCCTGCTGCCCAAACCACAACCTCACCACGCCCGTCCACGTCCATCTTTGATCTCTTCCTGCTTCCTGCACGCGCACGTGAGTCAGTGGGAAGGATGGATAGCTCGTCTCGGTGGCTGGCGCACGCATCGTTTCCTTGCGGCCAACCGCTCCCAGATATAGGAGAAAAGAAGACTGCTGTGCTTCAAGCGATGTATCGAAACATCCTTGTCGGGAATACAACGGGGAGAATCAACACAAACGGGCACATAAACGCCGCTTGTGTATAAACGAGGGATGATGTAGGCCTAGTAAGAGAAACTCTCGAACGCGGTGAGGGTACGCGTGTAGCCTCTGATGGACGTGTGCATCTCACACTCATGCGCCCGCACGTATAACATTGCCAACGACCCGAAAACAGAACATCTCAGCAACAAACCTAAACTGGTTGTTTCACTGGTTGATGTTAAAATAATTCGCTATTGTTTGTTGCATGATGAATTCCTCAATTGGAATTCCTGCACCCCTGTGAGATAGGTGCACTGCTGTTGTTTCGTCCAGCGAGCAATGCTACGTATGCATAGGAGGGTGCTCTCTCTCTCTCTCTCTCTCTCTCTCTCTCTCTCTCTCTCCTTTGAAACGCCTCTGTCTCTCTGGCTTCTTCCGTGGCTCATCTGCCCGCCCCCCTTGCAACGCTCAACGTCGGCCGTACGCAGTTCTTCCGTAAAGGGTGTGCGTGCATGGCAACCAACAAACAAATCTACAGAAACATCTACAACTTTAATCTTGGTGGAAACGGCGGCTGCGGGTGGGTGGCGGGTGTCCGTGAATGCGGCGAACAATTAAGCGCCGACCGCGGAAATATTTGTCAAATCGAGAGCACGATCACAACAACGTCAACACGGCCGACGAACCAGGGAGGAGGCAACAACGACGGCATGCGATGGGACGGCGGGCAACGGCACTATCTACGGAACGTAACCGCGCAGCCGCCACCGGCACATTCGCGTTACGACTGCTCACACCGAGAAATGAACAATGAGGAGGCGGAGCGGCAGCGGGCCGGGAGTAAGCGGTTGCGGTCGGCATCATGGGAAGAAGAAGGTCGCGCAGGTGGCGAATCATGCAAACACCACCAAAGCACTCCGGCCACCACCTCCCGCAGAGTTATTCACTCCTCGTCGCCGGGTCCTTCCTCCGTGGCCCCCCGCCGTCGAGGATCGGCCGTACCCAGTCTGTGTCCTCGGGTCTCACTACCGCCACAGCCTTCTTCATCGTTTTCATCGTTGATGCCTCTGTGCGCACCACGGCGGGCTCTAGCTGGCGGCAAGGGGGCGGCGTTGGGCCATGCCGCCCCTGCGACAGCAGCCGCAACTGTGGTCGCCGTCCCAGAAGGAATTCACAGCAGCGACCGTTGGACAGCGTTACAGGTGAGCGATGTGATTTGTGATCATGATACACTGCTGTTAAGTAAATAAAGGTACGAATGACAGGTACGTACATGCTGCTGTCGGTACATTGATCCCCCCCCCTTCTCTATAATCCGTGCGCGTTTGTTGAACTTGTAAATATATCATACGAGGACGGATTGTAATGCTTCGTATTCTCGACTGCAAATCGAGCAAAACAAGTCAAGCGCAACAAACTGATAACTCGACGTGCAAGCCGCATGATGCCTAGCTAGGTGCTCCTCCTTAGACATTGCATACTGTAGGGCGTGTTGAACGTTGGATCTGTGGATTTTGAACACGTGGACGTTGAAACCATCAGAATTGTCGAACACATTAATTAACAGAAAGAAGGATGGAATGTGGTAGACTACGCATCTATCTTAATATAAATATTTTCTGTCTGGTGTCCTTCCGGGCCGTTGCGCGTGAGAAGGATTTGACTGACCGGCACACGCCCGTCACTGCAGATGATTGCCGTAGTATGCTACGTATCCTGCGCACCTATATAGGTTTTAGTTGGCGCGTGCAACTTGTATAGATCCCAGCATCATCTCCGGGGATGGTGGTTGGTGGTGGTTTTGAGCCGCCGCCAGGTGTCGTCTCTCTTCCTTTCTCACTGCAGCGGTGGTGGCCCCGGTTTGGCGACCCCTAGTGTCACGACGAAATATGGTCGCTATTCAGGGCATGTCGCAAAACCCGGTTTCCTAACCCTAACCCTAACCCTAACCCTAACCCTAACCCTAACCCTAACCCTAACCCTAACCCTAACCCTAACCCTAACCCTAACCCTAACCCTAACCCTAACCCTAACCCTAACCCTAACGACCCCTAGTGTCACGACGAAATATGGTCGCTATTCAGGGCATGTCGCAAAACCCGGTTTAGTAACCCTAACCCTAACCCTAACCCTAACCCTAACCCTAACCATTGGTCGCTAAACCGGGACCCTCAATAGCATCTAGCGGTCGCTAAACCGGGAAATAGGGCCATTTCGTGGGACTAAAGAGGCCTTGTTGCAGAAATATTCTGGATCGGGTTATGTATTCGTCGTATTGCAGCAGTCGCATGAAGGTAGAGGAAAGAAGAACCACCCAAGGGTGGACAACCGGGGAGTAGTCTAGTCAACCAGCATGCTTGCTGTACCCTCAACAACAAGTGAACAGAGGGTGCGCTTTGTCTTTTATGTTCGCGCATGCAGAATAACCTGTCCCTACATGTGCATAGATCAACACACAAACACACACATGGAAGTCCGATCTGTGAAATTGGAAAAAAAAGAAGGCGAAAGAGGGGAAAACGTTATGGTAATGTCCCCCAAAAGACAATAATAAAACACCTCTGCATGATACGGAGAGAGTTCGTGAACGCCCAAGTGGCAAAGAACCTCGCGCTGCTCGTGACTTCATTCTGCTTCTGTCGCGTGTTACCGATCATGTTTAACTCAACATCTCTCTGATGTCCATCTGTCGCGCTGGTTTCGCGGAGTGTGCTTCGATGAACAGCATCTTTGTCTTGCCAAGATGGTACGCTTCCTCGCTTAGTCCACGACTCCTCAACACTCTTGAAGCGATCCAAAATGCTACGGTAACTCCGAGTAGGGCGGCGGCGCCATCACTTCCCCACCCCCCGCACCGCCAACTTCTCCAGCCCCATCTACCTCTATTTCTCTTTTTCGTTTAGTGGATCCGAGACGGGTGGGGAAGCCTGCATGTTCTTAGATGGCACACTCGTGGCAGGTGCGGTGCATCTCGATGCCATCGAGAACCTCCACCTCCCCACACATCAGGTGCAGGCGAACACCTCAGCCACCATGGCAAGCATGCCCCTGGGGTGCCCGCAGTTCCACATCCGGCTGTTTGCGCAACTCTCCATCGCAGTCTTGTGTCTTTGTGTGTGGAGGAACGCAGGGTCTCCGCAAAATTTGAACCGATGGTCGCTATTGCCCGCTGAAAACAGCCCACTAAGTCGCTATTGAGGGTTCGACCGGTTTAGCGACCATGTGGTCGCTAAACCGNGGGCGGCGGCGCCATCACTTCCCCACCCCCCGCACCGCCAACTTCTCCAGCCCCATCTACCTCTATTTCTCTTTTTCGTTTAGTGGATCCGAGACGGGTGGGGAAGCCTGCATGTTCTTAGATGGCACACTCGTGGCAGGTGCGGTGCATCTCGATGCCATCGAGAACCTCCACCTCCCCACACATCAGGTGCAGGCGAACACCTCAGCCACCATGGCAAGCATGCCCCTGGGGTGCCCGCAGTTCCACATCCGGCTGTTTGCGCAACTCTCCATCGCAGTCTTGTGTCTTTGTGTGTGGAGGAACGCAGGGTCTCCGCAAAATTTGAACCGATGGTCGCTATTGCCCGCTGAAAACAGCCCACTAAGTCGCTATTGAGGGTTCGACCGGTTTAGCGACCATGTGGTCGCTAAACCGGTGTGCAGCGGTGTCACGAGATTTTGGGGTCGCTAAACAGGGCATGTCGCTAAACAGGGGGTCGCTAAACCGGGGCCCCCATTGTACCACTTTTCTCCGTGGTTGTTGACAATAGAGGGTCTTTAAAGCTCAAGGCTTGTCCCCGCCCGCGCTTTGGCCGGTGCGAAATAAGAGAAATGTCTTTACGATCTGTTCGACAGTGACTCGTGTCTATCATCGAAAGCTTGTACGCCCCCTGATTGGCCGAGCGATCTTGTTTTGCTCTCTGGCGCCCTCTCTCCGTTGCGTAATCCGAGAATGGGTGCATTGCCCCGGTCTCCCGTAGGCATCTAGATTACGCTCGACCTTGACAGCAAAACGAAGAAAAAGTCAAGAGAGAGAGAGAGAGAGAGAGAGAGAGAGAGAGAGAGAGAGAGAGAGAGAGCGAGAAGGGCGGTGATCTGGTGGTGTGATACGTTTTATTGCCACGGTTAGTCTTGCGCTCTCTCTCGCCGACTATCAGCAGTTCGTAGTAGCGACGACACAATAATGGTATCTATGTACATGACACCTGGAGGGATGTTACGAAGACCACAAACAACCTTGCGCACCACGCAGTCACACCTGTGGTAATGAGCGGTGCTTCAAAAGGCCGACCGGAAACACAACCACCCTCACCCCCTAGGCCCACTTCAACACACACCGACAGCTTGTCATCGCTCGAAACCCTCCAAACGCTACGATATGCATGTAGATACGTGGTACCTCTTTTTCTGATGCATACCACGTGTTGTGTGTTTGCCTTTGCTCGCAATTACTTAAGGTGAGTATTCCAAGGGTTGAGGTCGAGAGTCTGACTACAAACGTCGTGAACGACAGCAGCAGCAGCAGCAGCAGCAGCAGCAGCAGCAGCAGCAGCAGCGGCAGCATCAGCCGCAGCAGCATCATTAGCATCACCAGCACGGACCGAAGCGAGGAAGGCTCCCTGCCTGTGCCCGCCGCCGCCGCCGCCGCCGCCGCCGCCATCGGCGATTCGGCAGTATCGAGGGTGTACGGTAAGGCACAAGTGGGTTTTCCCTCCTCCTCCTCCGCCTCGTCGTCATCGTCGTCGTCGTCTTTACAACATCAAGGCGTGTCGGCGGGATCAAGATGTTCAGGAAATGGCCCTACCGCCGCCGCCGGCGTTGCGGGTGGCGGCGGCGGCGGCAAAGGCGGCGGCGGCGGCAAAGGCGGCGGCGGAGGGTTGCCCGAGGAGGACGTTCCTCTGGTAGAGGTGAAGGTCACCAAGGCCGGTGATTCCATTTACAGCTTGAGGGAGTCTGCGCCTACCCGCCGGGGCAAATGGTCTCGTCTCGAAGAACAGTACGCCAAGAGGTCNGGGGGGGGGGGGGGGGGGGGGGGGGGGGGGGGGGGGGGGGGGGGGGGGGGGGGGGGGGCGTTGTCTCTTTTGTGTTTTTTTTTATTGGACTGCATAGCAGAGAGCGGTGTTGTGTTGGAGGGCACGCCAGAGGCGGTTTTGTGTCATGTACTCTGTTTTCTGCCGCTCCACAACAGAAAGCGGCGGAGGCTTCGTCCATCTTTTTCTCTACGCCGAAACGGCCTGTAGGTCTGTTAGGAACCCCATTCCAACGCAAGACTGCGAAGCATGCATATACTTCAGGAAAGCGATCCGTTCGAGCACTTGCTGTCTAAGGGACGCCCTCCCCGTGGACTCCCACCCCCCTGACTGTCGAAATCGCGTCAACGTGGCTTTGTAAGCGACAAGGCGTCAACATCGTCTGGGTTCTGTGTAGTACACTTCTGCTTGTTGTTCCGCTTGGAATATGTATGCGGTCGGTCGGACTGCGGTGTGCGCCGCTTGGCATATGCATGCAAACTATTGAGTTGCTTCTTCCGCCCCCCCCCTCCCCCCCGGTGTTTGCCATCGGGGTTGGGTTTTCGTCGCTTGTCAACGACGTTGTAAAACAAGCCGCCCCCAAACCTTCAAAACGCATCAAATTGAAGGTTTTGAAGAGCGTAATCGTACCGCCGCTAGAGTACGCCGGAGAAGTATGGGACGGAAATAAGAAGGTAGTGAAAGAACTCGAGGCAGCGCAGATGAAAGCAGCGAAAACCATCCTAGGATGCTCCAAGCGCACAAGTAATGCAGCCGTCAGGGCAGAATTGGGGATCCAATCCCTACGGTCGGGAAGAGACGCGAGGAAGCTGACATGGCAGTATCGCATGTGCGGGATGGGAGAGGAGCGGTTGCCGAGAATTGTATGAGAGGCGAATTGGGCAAACAAAAATTGCGCGTGACTGAGCTGGGAAAAATAGATGGGACGTACAGGGAGATGTTTGAGGCATGGAATAGAGAGGAACGAACGGTAGCTGTACAGGGGCATAGGAGGTGGGTTGAAAAGGTGGGAAGGGATATCGTTAGGATAGTCAGACTAGGGAAGACATTTTTTAGTCACCTTTGGCAACGTAGAAAGGAACGATTGGTCATCGGTGATCGGTCCTGTGGGAACAATGCTCGTCCTCTCGAGGACGCGTGGTCAATGGTCTAACCGCTAAGGCATGCAAAACATAAGAG